ATCCCAGAGGCAAGGTTCTTAATCTGGAAACAATTTTGGACTAGAGAATATCCAGACACTTGAGCAAGAAGTTCATCACTGGGTAGAACTCTCCTTTTACTTGCTGACTTTACTGAGTAATATTTGCGGAAATAAACTCAGAAGAATACACTGTATATTAAGTTAGCAGAATGGATGCTGTCTGCAGGCTATTGCAGTCATTCTTGCTGACATTATCCTGTTTCTATCAGATTGGCTGTGTAGCTCCCAGTATTTTGTGGTGGGGTTTGCCTTTCAAGAGGAGTTCTTAAGCCATGATGTCAACAGAGGGGCATCACCTCAAGCAGTGTCTGCTGCTCTGTTGGGGTTTTTTTGTGTTGTGTCAGTGCACGTAATAAAAAATATTGTACTTACTGGTCTCAGGCAGCTGCAGCAGGAGCAGAGGGGTTCCCTCTACCTCCCCCCCCCCTGAAATTACTGCCCATCATTTGAGCGTGTCTGCGTAGCCTGGTTTTCAGGCTGTAGGTGTGGCCTGCACTGCAGCTAAGAGGTGGGAGCATAGCATGCTGAGGCCTACCAGGCTAGCTTGAATCTAATTAGCTTGGATAACAATATTAGTGAAGATGTGATAGAATGAGCTTCGGTAAATAAATGTATGCTGATGTGGAAGGCTGCTAGGAATCATCAGTACATCCCTGGGTGGCCAGCAACAACAATGTACAAATTTTAAAAACTTTTCCCAAGGGCTCTTGAAGCAACAGCTTGGCAATTGCTTCAAAGCCCCAAATCTTCCCACAGATAGTTTACAGTTTTCCCTGTAAAACGATTTTAAAATATTATATAAATTAACTGCTTGTCAAGATCAAATTTTAGCTGAAAAAAAAGTTTTAATTTCCTCCCTGTGGTTTCCCAGTCTTTAAAGATTTGCATGCACAGCTATCTTGACTACAGCCAAAGCCTCTGCATTAGCTGGCTCTGCCGTAACAGTCGCATCTGCCAGAGCAGGGTTCTTCTGTCTTCTTACTGCTGCCTACAGAGTTTCACGACTGGTAGCCTGAGTTATCACCATTTGCGTTCTTGAATGGTAGAAGAGTAACACAAGTAGGTGAAATTGGCTCTGTCCCGAGTTACTGCATGTTTCTTTGTGAACAGGAGACGGTCCACTGGCTTAGTGAGAAAAATTATAAAATTAACTCAGAAGTAGAAAAGGTAATTGGAAGACTAAAGCTGGTTACTGAACCAAAGCATATAGACCTTTAAAGCTTTAAAACCAAAAGGTAGTAGTGAGAGGAAGTAGTAAATGTAAGTTAAGCAAATAGTGTAGGAAAAAGATTGATCATGATTTTCAAGATAAGAAAATATACCTTAGGGGGGAAAAAAGACAGTTGAAAAGCATGTACTTGCTAAATCTACAAGGTTCATCCTTCCGGTACTGCTTTATTATATTGTTCTGTGAATGAGCATTAGTGGACAGAAGCATCGCCCCTCATTATTGCTCTCGTATGGCTGAAAGACACCAAAAGTTGGCTGCAGCAGCAAAAGCAGCAGAACCCAGCATCTTTCCTCTTACAACCCTTGCACTCGGACCACTTTAACTGGTCTGGAAAATCTGCTCTGTGTACATGCCCAGGCAGTGCTATACAAAATACCAGTGGATGTTAGTATTAGGGCTGCACAGGGAATAGCACACACGGGCTCCTCCTCCACAAGTCAGGCTTTGTAGGCAGTAACAGGCAGAGAGTCATTGGTGAGGCTTAGTGAATACTGGGAGGGAACCACCCTAATTGTGGGATCCTTCAGATAAAATTATGTTGTTCTTGCTCCTGCTTGAACTCACAGAGAGGCAATCATGTTTCTTGGGCTTGGAGGCAAACTCCTGGATGCCATGATTTGCCCAGTCCCTTGATTTACAGTAACAGAGAGGTGCCTTGTGTTTAAACATAGGATGGGAATTAAGAAGTCTGGTTCTGAAACAGATTTTCTGCGTGACCTTGAACACTTATTCTCTGCTTGCTTGTTTTCTCATCTGTACAACAGGGATAATAATGTTTATCGACCACACAGGGGGCTGTAAGGCTAAATTAATTAATATTATAATTCTCGATTCTCTTAGATAAAAGGTTTTCTAGAAGTATGAAGCATAGCTATTTATTATATTATCTGCATTTTATTCTCTTTTTATTCATGCCTTATCAATTCTACTTCAGCTTTTTCTTCAAAATTATTTGTCCTAGTCATCTCATCTGGGTAAAAAAGAAGAAATTGATAAAACTAATGATTGCATAGAAACTAATGTTTGGAAAGACTGGTCTAAATTTCTTAATTTGAAGTATACTTCCTCCCAACTAACATGTATATGGATCTTCTTGAACAATGTTTCTTCTCTTTGGTGACTTTCCAGTGTGGTCTTTTCTTCTTTATATGCTGTTTAAGGTATCTGTGAGCTCACACAAATGGGCAAGAGTATGCACTCCTGCTCTTACAATTTCACTTCCATTTTCTTTGATTATATTTTCTATTGTTCTATTTAAATCCATTTCCTTTCTTGCTGACTTTTCTTCTATTTGGCAGGTTTTTCTTCCCTTCACCCTTCAAGAATCCCAAATCCACTAGTGAAGAATCATTTGTATACACTGTCATTTCTATTTGCTGTTTTACTCTTTTTTTTTTTTTTTTTTTTTTTTTTTTTCTCAATGAGACAGGTCAGGCAGTGTGCTGCACTGGATATCAGTACAGTGCATCTCAGGTACACTGAAGCCATTTGACTTCACCTTATGTCATTTCTAGAATGTATTTTCTTTCTCTTAGCAATGAGCCAGGACAGCAGTTTGGCTAGATTTTGCTGCATTTCTGAAGCACTGTATAGCTAAGTGCTTCCGGAACATCTGATGCTACTGTTGTAGTGTTCAGCAGCCTGCTAAAAGTGTGAGATATGCAGTAGATTATCTAACACCCAAATACTGGCTTGTCTGAGACTTTAGATAAGGATGTGATTTAAATATATGTATCCAATCTGTAAAAAGTAGCAGCACTGCAAAAAATGAAATTATAGGTTGCATTGTAGGTAAATTCTATGGTGTAATCACTTCAGATGAGTTTGAAGTGCAGTTTCCTATACTTGCTTCTGTATTCCTATTTTTCTGCTCCTTACTGTTTCTTAGATAAATTGGGATTAACTTTTCTATGCCTCATTGCTTACCCTAGTCATTTCCTGAATTTCAAAAATGTCATTGAACATGTCTTTGTTAAAAATAATAATAAGCTATTAGACTATCTTATTCAACATGCTCAAGTCAAAAGATACGTGTATTCATTAAATTGCAGTGAATGAATAGATTTTGTAAGGAGGCAGCTTGTTCATTGGAATTTGTTGAGCTCTACAGAATAAGCCAAGTTTGAAGAAAAAATATATACTTAATGACTTTGAAGTTATAAAATCTGAAGGGCTTTTTGATGAATGTGAAGAATGATTTCCTCTACTCTGTTTACAGCTTAGACCATTAGGACAAAGATTGTAAATGTTAACTTGAAATTTTCTGAGGCCTGGGCTCTAATTCTGATTTGGAAGGAGGTGGGGAAAAGAGGTTAAGAAATTCTGGGTTTGATTCAAATGCTGATGTATTTAATCTTACTATAACTGTTTCTGTAAAAATCCTGCCTTGCAATGACTGTGAAGTTTCCCAATATTTATAACACATTATAGAAAACTAGTGGCCAGATTCCAGTCAGAATGTGTCCCACATTTTATCAGGTTCTTCTTAGTCCTGATGGACAACATAATAGCAGTGATTGGGAAGCATCTGTATCCCTGCATACTGTTTCCCGCACCAGAGGAGTGGCTTGAAAAGAAACTAATTTTGTCTACTGACAGAAGAGCATTGGTTAAACCAGGAAATGAGTCAGGATGTTCAGAGAACCAGCTGAGCTTCTAGGTGCGGTGGAATATTTTCCCTTTTGTCACTGAGCAGCATTCCTTCCAGCTGTAGCTTCACATAGACTGGGTCCGGTGCTCTCCACCTCAGAGACCGCAGCAGTGGGAGTGCTGTGCTCCATGCATAATTTTGTGTTTTGCTTATATAAATGGAAAAAGTGATGATGCTTTATTTGCTGGATTTGGACATAGGCATGCAGGATGCCAGCTTCAGTGAGACATCCCCTAGGACTTCAACGTAGCCTAATGATCATACATTGGAATGACTGCTGTTTCCAAGTAGTTCAATGGCATTTAACTGGTTAAAGGGGTGTGAAACTATGTGGTTTCAGTCTTAGAATATAAGTCTTTACAGAAGGATTAACACTTAGTTTAACACTCTTCTTGGATATTTATGAGATCTTGCTAAAGTCTTAGGGGCCCTCACATTTTAATGCATTTGCAAGGCTGAGTATTGAATGAGTGAAGAAAAGTGTGGTGTATGCAAAGGAATATTTAATCCTCCTGATTTCTCCAGATTGCTCCTTTGTGCAGAAAAAAAAAAAAAAACATTTTGCCAAGTGGACTGCCCCTTTTCTCTTTGCCTAACTGAACTTCATTTCTTTTGTCATCTGGGAGTTAGGAAAATGTTTCTGTGATTTCACTGAATTTCCCTGGGAACATTTTCAGGTTAAAGTGAATACAATTCCTTTGTCTGAATAGTTCTAATTTATAATACTTACATATTTAATAATTATTAAATATCTAGGTGAGTGGAATAACTTTATTTGGGATGTAGGTTCTTTCATTAGACAAGGTTTTTTTCTTCATATGACTGCAATAGTAACTACATTTACTAAAGATGTAAGTCAAGAAATTGTTAAAGTGGGTCCATATAAATATTAAATATTAAGCTTTCTGCTGTTTGCTTCATAAAGTACAGTGTTTATTGTGACAATACTTCGTTCTTTGCTTTTCTGGTTTTAGGAACACATTTAATGTCTCAGCAATATTGTATACTCAAAATACTTCAAGAAGGTACAAATATTTAAAAAGCAGCATTCAACTACAAGTCAGGCAAATTAAAATATCAGTTATTATCTCTCAACAGATTTTACCTGATTAGTGGTGGAGTTCCCTTCATTATATGTGGGATTACAGCAGCAACCAATATCAATAATTATGGGATTGAAGGCAATGCACCATAGTAAGTATAAACTATTATCACAAAACTTTTAAGGAAAACATATTCTTTTTCTTGTGCCGATAAATGTAACTCACTTCATAAAGGGTACCGATGTGCCATTTGGGATGATATTTGTTATGAAATTTTATTAAATAATAGCTATGAAAGAGCTATGTCTTAATCTGGGGCTTGCTGCTTCTCTACCAATTTGACTCCATTACTGTCAATAGAATCACTTTTCATTTACAGAATTACTCTTCATTTACATCTGAATAAGTGAAAGGATATTAAAAATACCTAATGGATAGCATATTTAATGCAGCTACTAATTAATTAAATACTTTCAATTCATTATCTACCTTGAATTGATATCCTTCAGGTGACTTAAAGTAATTTACAAATAATTATGTGAAAAAAGGATAAGTAGAAATCCCTCCCCTCCTTCCTCCACCCCCATCCCTCCCTTAAAAAACAATTATTTTGGATTTTCACCACCTGGAAATGTTCCAGTCACCATGTCTTGCAATCCTGACATAGCCCTCTAGTGCACTAGTGTGTTAGTGTTCAGTACACCTCCACAAGCTATCCAGGATTGTTACTAATTCTTGGCATGAAACATGAGATATCAGTAAAGTACAGTAAGTCTTTCCATAAAAGCATAGTAAAGAGTGAATCAGACTGCAAAGTTAAATACATTCTGTGTACAAGATCAGCATGGCAATGACTGGTACACTAATGGATATCATAGTATTCTGCCAGCACTAGTACTCTGGAGGACATCACTCTTAGTTACTGCTTTGAGCATCTATTGGAATATATTTGAAACTAGTTATGTTCTGGGTAAGAAAAGTGGAAACAAAGGATGATGGTTTGTAAGTAAGCATTTGGCTCCTTAAAGGCATTTTTATAGGTAATTGAAATTTAAATTCTGGTAATAAATTAGTACGTACCATGGCTAACTGTTTGCTCTGCCTACGGCCCAACTCATATTCATATATTTATTCAAACTTATCCAATTAGACAATCACTTATAATCAACAGTATATTAAAAGACTCAATTATTTATGTTCATAAATGTGAGACATTTTTCATTTTGGCACAGTTACAGAGGTTATACTTCTTTAATCATGTTAATCATAGCCAATCAATACCTGGTACCACAGTCTGCACAGAAACCAAGGCACAGGTGAGGGATGGTTATAAGACTGAGTAAAAAGACAACTCAACAACAGCATAGTGAGTTATGTGCCTTATTCATTTTTAGTAGTATTAGTACAGTAAATGTAGATACACAAACTTGAACTTTTTTTTACAGAACTGCTTTTTGAAGTGATTCACACCGAGATTCCACTTGAAATAAGAGCATCCCAAGAGACTATTCCACAGGGGAGCATTCCCATCTCCACTTTGCATAAAATATGCAGCATTGAAATGTACTTCAAGTATTCATGTAGCTTTGTGCTCTCTGCTTATCCAATTAAATATAGGTGGTAACTTACCTACCTTTTCACAGATATCGTTCAGGGAATCTTTTCATGTGCATGTCTGACAGCAAAATATATACTCCTTGGAGTGTTTCTGAGTTCATTAATAAACGTGTGTATGTTTTTGTTTAAGGTTCCGATTTTAAAAATGTAAAGTAGTTATGCTGCAGTTTCTTGTGATAAATAACCAGGGGGACTGCCTCTTTTTAGCTGAGAGGTTCTCAGCCTGGGAGAAAAAATCATTCTGCCCTTGTTATAGTAAGTGGTAGATGATTCCTGGCTTGACAATAATGTGATATCAGAAGGTTCCTCGCTGTATTGGAGGGATTGCAACCAATCACACATGCCTAAATGAGTATGAAGTGTCACACAGCATCACTTTTACAGCTGGAATGGATCATGACAGATCACCTGGTCTGTCTTCCTGACCCAGCAGGAAATTAGCTATATCTAAACCATTCCTGACAATTATTTATCTGAGCTGCTTTAAATGCTCTGATAATGGATACATCACACTTTATTCCAACAGCTTATTATCCTAATTATCCTAACAGCTAGGAAACTTTTTGAAAATCTAATTTAAATCTTTCTTGCTGCAGTTTAAGCCCATTACTTCTTGTCCTAGTCCAACAGATACGGAAAGTAACTTACTCCTCTTTCCAGAAATCCATGTAATACTTAGAATATAAGAACCTAGTAACAGCTGTACTAGCTTACACCACCAGCTCCGAGGCCTGTCTGTAACCATGGCTAAAAGCAGATCATAGAGAAGAGTAAAAATTTGGCAAATACTCATTCTCCCCCTGACTCAAATTCTCCCAGTTTCCATCTGGGATTTCATTAATCAGAAGTGTTTTCTTCTCCCACATTTATTTGATTAGATCATTCATCCTCAGGACAGTCCTGTTAGACTGCCTCTAAATTATGCAGCTTACTGAGGCTTATTCAGCTCATACTGGCTTGTGAACTACTTTAAGCTGCTCTAAACCAGTTATGGTTATATTATTTAAAGCCTAGCAAATAATAATCCATGCTACAATGCGTAGCATACTACCAGTGTATCACAAAGAGACCATCAGTTTCCTTAATTTTTCTGAGGACATTAAAATTGATGTAAATTAACTCCCAGGAATTTCAGAAACAGTGGAGAATTAAGAAATGGAGTATATCTTTTGGGTCCACTCACTGCAGAAAGCGGTGACTGTTTAACTGGAAGTCTTTTTTCAGCCTCTCTTTTACTCAGGCTGTTCTCTACTTTGGCAACAAGAAAATTCTGTAAGAACAATCTTCAGGCTTAAGAGTTGGTATCAACGTTCATTGATGCATACCATTGAAATCTGTACATTTCTATTGCTCACACAGATTGTATAAACTATGCCTCATTTGCTTTTTAATCAAAGTATTAGTGCTGACATTTTTAGTAGTAGAAAAAAGGGTTGACATAAATGGTCTTATACTTCACTGCAATTCTAGATTCTAAACTGACCTACATTTCTTGGAAATTTTCAGCTTTAATATCCTGTAAATTACACTAGACATTTTATTCTATTAAAAAATATGAAAGTGATGCCTCAGCTTAATTGATATTAAAGGCGCACTCCCTTTCTCCACAATGAACATATCTGAACTTCTGAGACACTGTTGGGTCATACAAGTTAGTCAGAAAGCCCAGTTTCACATCAGTCAGTTGTCCATCACATCTAATGTGGGCTATAAAATGTTCTTGACTCTCTTTTTTTGTTGTTTTCAGTTGCTGGATGGCATGGGAGCCTAGTCTCGGTGCTTTTTATGGCCCAGTAGCATTCATTGTGCTAGTCACCTGTGTTTACTTTCTCTGCACGTACGTGCAACTGAAGCGCCATCCTGAACGCAAGTATGAATTAAAGGAAAAGACAGAAGATCCACAGAGAATGCCAAGTACTGAGATGGGCCATGGTCATATTACAGACTCTGTGTCCATTCCCCAGGCAACCTGCCCCATGATTTCTTCTTCCTTATTGGAAAATGAGCATTCATTTAAGGCTCAGCTTCGAGCCGCAGCATTCACTTTGTTCCTGTTCACTGCTACTTGGACCTTTGGAGCACTTGCCGTATCTCAAGGTCATTTCTTGGATATGATATTTAGCTGTCTTTATGGAGCCTTCTGTGTGACCTTGGGGCTTTTCATCCTGATCCATCACTGTGCAAAGCGAGATGATGTGTGGCATTGCTGGTGGTCCTGTTGTCCATCTAGAAGAAACACCTATTCTGTCCAAGTTAATGTGCGCCCAAAGGTTAATGTCAACGGTGACACTCAAGTTCATGCACCTTGTCTTCAAGAATCACCATGTCCCAACAAAACAGCTGTGTATAATCATCCAGCAGCTAGCCACTGCAAACTTACTAACCTACAAGCGGTTCAAAATCATGTTAACTGCCTTTCACCTGTGACACCATGTTGTGCAAAAATGCACTGTGATCAGCTACTTGATGATGAAGCTCACATTCATGTCCACAATGAGGGAACCTTCAGACCCAATATGCACATTCATAGATGTCTGAAGGGCAGAACTAAGCCACGTTATTTCAGTCGGCATAGGTCTGCAGGTGAAAGAGAATACGCCTATCACATTCCTTCAAGTATTGATGGCAGCATCCACAGCTCACATACAGACAGTCCCCACAGTACGCATGATAGCCAGTCAGGTCACAGACGAGCCTGCTGCTCAAAAAGCGATCCATATCCTACTGTCAACCAGCCCGAAAGTAGCGATGCAAGTACTGTAATATATAGTTGTGCTAAAATGCCAGAAAGTGACACTGTGCACCATCCAGCTCATTTTGAAATGCACCCACGGACACAGTCATTGCCGTTTAATACGACGAATCACAACGGAATTCTCAAGGGAAACATGCATGAAGCCATGATATACAGCTCAGATAGTACAGGAAATATCAAAACTGGCCCTTGGAAAAATGAAACTACTGTGTAGTTCATGGGCCATCATAATGTGTTTTTTCCCCCTAAACCATCATTATCTTTGCTTTTATTCCAAACTAAATAAGATGACATATTTGGGTAGCTCATCAGTAAATTGTACAGCTTTTCCATCTTTATTTCCATTTTCTTAGTAAGAGTCTAAAAGAGAGAGATAGCGACAGTTTTAAAGTGAAGTTATTTTTAAAACTTATACAATTATTCCGAAAGATAATTAGAATGAAGTCTAGACAATTGAATATGAGAGGCAATATACTTCTGTTACACATAACAACATTTCTTTAGATATACATCATTTCCATTCATTGTTTTCACTTTTGTTCTGTAGTAACTTTAGACACTTTTTATAAACATATCAGCATCCTAAACTTTTACTTATTTATTTTTGTAGCAAAATATTATTACTGTGCCATGGATTTTAATCAGAAGTGACTATGGTAGAAATGATAAACAGGATTTTATAAAATTACAGCTTTTTAGATCTACAAAAGTGATACTGCCTCTAAAGATCTTCTGTAGCATATGGCCTGTAAAGTTGTGTAATGTACAGTCTCTGTTCTGTCCTTTTTCTTGTTGGAGAGAAGTGCTAGGTAATGTCTCTGTTACATCTATGGTGCTGTATTGGTTGTATTTTGCATGACGTATGTCAGGATATTCCATTTGCTGTTTTCTAGTGTTACATGTGTTAAAAAAAAAAGAACAAAAAAAAAGTGTTGTACAAGGCTGTGAAAAACCCTATTGTTATTAATCTAGAGCATTATAAATCTACAGAAAAAAAAAATCACTCTGCACTAGTTTAAGTGGCACAATCCTTTGTATAAGGTTATATGATAGCTTTGATAAGGGTCCACTCTAATGTCTTTACAGAGCATGCACTACTCATTGTATGTGACACTGTGCGGTGTAATAGCAATCGTCTCAACAAGTTTTACACTTCCTTGTAAAGTATGCCTTTTGAACAAATCTGTAAGCTGTTTCATGATAACCTTTCCACATCTATTAAGGTAGAGCAGTTTTATCATTAACTCTTTGAGGACTACAGTTATTTTCTTAAAATAGCTTATTCTAGTTCAGAGACACTGTATATATGATATTGTCTATTTAGTTACATGATCAATGTAGTCCAGAGTTGTCAGGAAAGAGAAAGTTCAGTCATTTTCCACAAACACACTTTCTTAGAGTCCATCTATTAATTTCACCACTAGCCTTCTGAAAACCCATTTCCTCCCCTAGCAAATTTCAGATTGTCTTTGTCCATTAATGCAAATTTGACCTTCAGAGAAGTTCTTTATGTTCCTGATTTCTGCTGAATTGTAGGGCATTCCAGGGTCAGTACCATTCTCTATTAACAAGGCTCTTGGCAAGAAATTTTTTCATGTTTCCATGAACATCTGGACACAAAGCATCAACTCACAGTACAGAACTGCATCATAATTATCCCTATATGAAGTAAAACCACTTTTTTTCAAATAGGAAGGGTGCAGAATAATAATGGATCACAGAAAATTAATAGGAACATAAAGCTGAGAGAAAAATGTCTATGGTGGGAAGTGAGCAGTGCATCCATAAATAAGAGAAAAAGCACAATTCTGTATGGCCACATGAGAAAGTTTGCTGTCATGTCTTAACACAGGCTTATGTAATTGCTACATTGCTGCAGAGAGGAAATAGAAAATTCTCTTGAGAGATCATCAGTCTGCGATTCTCTGTGTATATGTTGCAGAAATCTTCACATACTTCAACCCATTATTCTGTTATTAGCCGTTTATTAGTCTCTACCTTTTTTTTTAAATATGTAGGAATACATTTCCTAATAGTGTACATAAAGACGACAATTGTAATTGTTAGAATGTTGTAAAAACATGTAAGTCAGATGAATGTGTTCTGCAGTGTTGCAGGTGGGAATTAGTACTCAAAGGGTTAATGCTCAGTATCTGAGTGCAAGAAATCTTGTTTTTCTGTATTTTTGTAAATTTGAAATATATATTGTAAACTCCAGCAGTGCAATGTATCCATCTCAGATTGTGTATTTTTAAAAGGTGAGCAAGAAGAATGCACTAGGTGGTTGTCAAGTTTTAAGCCAATATACAACAGTTTCATGACTGCTTCTTTAGCTAATATGAAAAAAGAAATGCCTGAGCTTTATTATGTATATGCTGTATATGCTTGAACTGTCTCTAAACTACAATACAGTATTTTTCTTTGTTTGCATAATGAAATATTTTCTGTTTAATAATTATTTTCTTTTAATATTACTTTTACTCATTCCACATAGACAGTGAGCCCTCAACAAGCATAGACATAATGTGAAATACCACTTCTCTGTGTCTCAGCACTATGTATATGTATATTCTGTAATAGCAAAATCCTAGGAGGTCTGTAGACCATTATGCAAAATATTCCACACACAGAGCCAAGTGAAATACTCACTCTGCAAGAACCCACTCGGTGAGCTTCTTTATTCAGCTTGTGTTTTAATCACCTCTGTTATTTTGTCTGAGAGGCTAGTTCCATCTTCATAATGGCTTACAAAGAAGTAAATAGGTGCTGCTTTCCACAGAATATCTTATGTGATAAAACTCTCTGGAATTTAAACATAAAATACTAAAACACTTTTCTTATTGTGTTAAAAAATTAATTTAGTGAACATTTCTGGGCTAATTTGGAAGAGATGTGTTATGCAATAATCTGCATATTATTTTTTCAGAAAATATACAGTATAACTACAGAGTAGGAGAACATGGTATTAAATAAATATAAAAATGTTTTGTAACATCAAATTTGACCAAAATGCTTTTTGTGCTTTTGACTTTTTTTTTCCTTAAGATAAATGAGATAATTTCAATGTTTTGGGAGTCTGGCTTTGTTTTATTGTGGGGTTTTGGTCAATTATAGTCAGTGAGCCATTACTACTTTACCTGGTTTCCTTTCCTATAAAAATAAAGTCAATGAAATAACTGGAGTATAAGAGATATATTGTCCTAGTAAGTTCCTCACAGACATACACATGTAACATGCTTCAAAGTCAGCATTAGATTTGGTGATTCATTGATGACATAAAAATGAGTGAACAGATTTTTACTGTTCACTTTCTGTCTGAGCTCAAGCAAGAGAAATTTCATCCAAAAAAGATAATTTTTGGAGAACGATGCAATCAACAGAAATCTGAAGGGTTGTTATTGCAGTACTACCAGGATAAAAATATGCTCTGATGCTATAGTGTTCTTCTCTGCATATAGAAATTCCATTTTTCATGACCAAATTTCAGATCATCTAAGTGACTCCATTTTAAGTCACATAGACTCTTTACAAGAAGAATTCCTACCCAGCCTCATATAAAGAGATTTGGTGTAAAAATAAAGCATATATTTTTGCATATTATGCCTGATCATATGCGCAGTTCCCAAGAAGTCTGTTGGTTGTGTCTGCACTAATATGACTGAGCAGCCTCTGTCAGTGGCCATAAACACATGTTCTCCTTCACCACACAGCTGCCTGCCAACTACCCTGTGGGCACCCTATCCAGATGTTAACCCACTGAGGGCGCCTTCACTGCGGCTCTAAAGCCTTCTTGCTGTCTAAACCAAAAGCAAAGTCTGTGCTTAAAGTCAAGTCAAAGCCACCTTTGATAGACAACACAGGTAATTGGGCAACCTCCACTTGAACACTAAGGACTGAAGGCAGATAAACCTAATGGAAGTGGCTTTAAGCAGTATAAGTCCTCCTTCCTCCAGCTCTCTGCCTAAACTACCTGCCTAGTAGGTCTGCTGCCTACAGAGATCTGCCAAATCCAGATGGCATGGATGCTCTGTCACAAAGCTGCTTCAGGTACATCATGTTTGGGGACATGGGTCTAAGCACCCTGGATGCCCTGAAGATCTGAAATTGCTCTTGTGCAGACGCTATTAAGGCTTACAAAGCTGACTCTGACTCCACAAATTTGGAGGTAAATTATATGCCTTTTTACAATGAAGAGATTGACAGCATGCTTGTCCACTTGACTATTTGGGGAAAAAAAAAAAGAAGCTGTCATCGGGATCAGGCCAATAACCTTTTTAACATAGAATCTTCTTTGCATGGACACAGAAAAAAAGAAGGTGGGGTAAGGTTCTCTGTAAAGGAGACCGCTTGTACTCTCACTGAGTTTTTGTTGCCTATGACAAGAAATGTCAGGCCTATGAAGACACTAGCAGCTCAGCAGCTTCCTTGCCAGAACATGAATTCAAATTCCTATACCAGCATCCTCCAGTTCTGAAAGAAGCTGTAGGAGGCAGCTGGATCAATCAGCTGGGTTTAAAGGCTGGCTGAATGACTTCAGTCAAGCAATTTCAGTATTAACTTGGTGCTCTAGGCAGCTTTTACTTGCTTAGTTAACTCTACAGAGAAGGGAGCTTTTGGTTTGGTTGGTTGTTTTCTTTCACTGTGCCCCATTGACCATTTTTTAATTAGCAGCTGAATCACTAAGAAGAAAACTTACTCTACAAATTACCTTGACTATATATGCCATGGCTTTTTGTTCCCTGTTACTAGGTCTGTGAAGGTGCAAGTGAGTCCTTATTCCCTTATCCTACCAGCCTATTACCTGAGTTTTTCAGGAGCCAAACAAACAAGCATCAGTGAATTCAGGACAGTATTATAGGGCTCACTTCTCTGCGAGGAGGATTGAAATTTGGTTTGCAAACTCTAGAGCAGTTCAACCTCAGACAAATATCCTGCCTTAAAGTTACGCAGCTGGCCATGACTGAGAGGTAAGGGCTTTTTGGTAAACATGGTGTCTGTATACCCCATGGGTGCTACTGTCTCTTTACATTTTGATCTGTTTGAATTCTGTAGTGCCTTGCAGTCTGAACAACAAAATGACTGACTGTTCCCATCAGCCTGTCACTCTGCTCCAGCTGTTCCCCTTAACCTGCAGTGCACTGTCAAGTGAGATTGTCCAGCATAGTCAGTGTTTTCATTCATTCCTTTATTTCTTTCCCAGGTACTTAATAATAC